TTTTGAAGCTCACTCCAATATTATTTTCGTCCATCTGACATTTGTTTTCCGCATTGCTTGACACCAAGAAAGCGCCAAGAAAAGTAAGGACCGAGGACTAGATATCATCTTGAAATCTTACCTCAGCATTTCTACGAACAATGTCTTTATCAAAGCATTAATCATTCTAACCAATGGAAACAAGGATTTGATTGCTACGTTGATCACGTTCGGCGTCTAAATGCCCCATCTATTCGTTTGTTTCTAGCTGGAAAATTCTATGGAAATGGAGCTCTTGGTGAACTTTAACAGAGAAGTGCGGTCGCCACGAGCGACTTAGAAAACGTCTGCTTATGGAACAAAGATAATCAAAACGATAAGGCTTTTCTCACTCCACCGACTTCACTTTTTCAATGATTTTTATGCATGATCTGGAGATCTACGAACTACAAAAGTTGCGCAAAAATTCAGCCTACATCACTCAATAACTTGAATATGACGGAACGAATCCGTGCTACTTAAATAGGTCAATAAAGGAAATCGACAGCTTGGTGTCGTCCAGCACCAGATATGGTGGTGTGCAGACTAAATTCTCGAAGATCATTAACATCCATGTCATAAGACGCAACAAGAAAATACTCAGTTGATATCCGGAAGATATCGAGCGGACAACTTGGGGGTCACCAAGAAGAGTTGAACTTGTGCGCTGTCAAATCAAGTAATGTAGTAGCTAGTTAGTGGGGAAAGACAATCAGTGCAGATGTTGTCGTAACGAATATGAAAATCATATCTTCCTTCAATTTTCACAATAGTACAGCTAAGTCAACCGCATATCTTTTCGTTTCTTTCATTGTAAACAAGTTTCTAAACGATCAGACGATCAGATAGAGTATGAGGTGCACAACTACTGTTTTAATTCCATTGAATGTGAAGATCTTGTCAGCTTCCACCACTTGTTCTACCAATACTAGATCGTGCACAACTATCATCAGATCTGCTATGTTTTCATTCATAGCTTCCCATTCTTCTGCTTTCTAAGCAAAGCTGATGATCTCAATGAAAGTTCGCTTCAGCACTTTGTTCTTTTGCTTCCATTTGAAATTCTGAGTCACCCTCTCAGAAAGCAAAAGCTTAATGCTCATATGCCAAACTTCTAGCAACTACGAAGTCGCTTTTTTGTGTTCAGTCGCCTATAATGTTTATAATATTACATTAAAACTCGTAGTAGCTCCTTTACCATTTACCGAAAAGTTGGGCGCCTTTACCAGTTGAACACAACAATTTTTTGCTTATAGCAAATTCCATGGCGCGTGTGGCGCAGTAGGCGGAGGTGTCCTGCAACACACACGTGGAGTCGATCCTCGCACGCACGGCCCGCCAAGCCTTCTATCCCTCTGGGGTCGACAAATTGGTACCATACTTGTCTGGGAGGATAGCAGCACTGGCTCGCTACATCGGTAGGCCACCGCGAGTCATTGTAAAAACCAGATATGCGTTCAATCACTTCTAAGCGATGCTTAATGATGTCGAGTGCATAGCGCATCTCTTAGAGATTGGTCAATGCCGAGATCTTTTATCCTTTATAGCAAATTCCAATGATTCAGTCTTTAGTTCATTTTCCACTAAGAACACAGTAAGGAGTTTCGAAATAGCGAGCACTCTATTAATTAGATGAAATTCAATTTCACCGGGATTTCAAGGTGAGCAGCAGTTTCTGTCATTATGAGTTTATTTATACGTACACCATAATACTGCTCCATTTTCCATTAGCTGATGAGCTGCCATTAATGCACTGAAAGAAATGCATGTACCCCACAAAAAAGCAACACTTCACATACGCTGCAATTTTCTGGCGGAGCCAAATCATCTTTTAAACTTCTCATAAAATCCTAAGAGAAAATCGAAATAGCAACTCAAATGGCTTACCACCTTATTGTGAAAGGAGCCTTTCTCTGAGTGTTAAAGTGCGACATATTTCGGTAGATTCAGCCCTGAAAACGCCCATCCAAACCAAAGAATTCGACAATTTTATTCAGCCTGGGGCCACCTAAGAGTAAATATTTGCTAGCGATTGCCACCGTCTTGGAAACGAACTATTTGTAAACCTCTCATAGATCTAGATGGGATAGCGTCTACTATGTGATAACGACCTGAAAACATCCCAGAAAGTCACTACGCGAACACCAAAAAATTTTGCTTATAATGATACGGCCTTTTCTAAACATGTCACGGTGTATAGACGGTGTTAAAAGAGCTCAACGAAGCGGTGAGGAGGGTATAAATGAGAAACATAAAAATGAAACGACGAATTTATTGGGGAAGCAAGAGTCGGTGAAAACAAGTCGAGCTGGGTGGTTCTTTTATTATGGATGTCTTAAGACACGTTTACCTAAAGAATCTAATGACCATGAAAAACAGCACGATTTGTGCACGCGAGGGTACAGATCATGTCAATGAAACAACTGATTAACTAACAAAACCAAAACTCCGCAGTCATCTTTAGGAGTCACTCGTCCCATTCGTCGTAAAGTTCTTTTATACGATTGAAACATGAGTTGAAGCCCTAACACGAAGAGAATTTCGCGCAAACATAGCGATCACATGGTGTAACCCAAAATATAAGAGGTCAATGCAACATTAAGGTGGATCTATATAGACATACAAATTATCCTGTCATGCCATGATGGGAATTGTCGACAAACAGAAGAAAATAATAGTTGAGTAGACCAGCAGTAAAGAAGTGTCCTTAAGCTGGGCTACCAAGATGGGAAACGTGTTTACCACTAACTTCAACTAGCTGTAATTAGCATCTAAGGACAATTCATGCATCACAGAGTGGTATTCCAAAGCGTCAGCATACCTAAAATGTACGAAGACCCGCGTAACAAGTGAAATTAGGTCACCCATGCGATCGAACAATATCCACCCACCTGGGAATTCTATGTAGGATTTTTTTTGTGAAAGAAAAGGTTTCACATTGGTTTCAAAGCAAATGTTTAATTTGAAATCTGAGATAAAAGAAATCGCAAATATCTTGAAAAAGGCTTCCTCTCTCTAATGGTCCACTAGAGACGTGCTCTCGTGCGTTTTTTCATTTACGTCATCTTTCCTTCTATTCTTTCTTTCGATACCTCTCGTTTACCGCTTTCATGCTGAGAACATCGCACAAATGGTGCAATACTTCTTGTGTCATCTAGTTCATGTTCAATTGTTCGTTTCACAATTCTTCATAGCGTAGCATCTTAAGCTTTCAGACCATGACGCCTCCTTGGTCGCTTCTTTGCCTCGCGATTACAATAACTGCCGTTTCGAGACAATTTGGTGCGTAATTCAGTTGTATATTAAACCAAAGTAATATGCATGACATGGCGCCGAGTTAGTCCTACGACAGCAGCTTCTTGAAATGAGCTGAATAAAAACCAACTTCGTAACCCAACTTAACCCAAAAACCAACTTCATATAACGACAAATTTGGTTCACAGAAGAAGTTCATCTGTGCTTTACAAACCGGCGTAAAATGTTTAGTGGTGATCCGACTATTGAACAGTTGTTGACTAGATTGGTAGTACCTTTTGCTTTGACCGGCTTCCAATACTTTGTAGGAAAGAGCATGTGAATGAGTGAAATTAGAAAAGCGGAACTACGGACTTTGTTATGAAATCATGGTCAGTTTGTGTGTAGCCATTTTTTTGCTACATGAATGATTATTTTGCCTATGACAGTTTTCGTCTTGTGAAAGGAATGAAGGCAGCTATTTCTTGCAACGAAAATTGTCACAACCAGCACGTTTGTTATAATCTAACAACTTATTACAAGTGAACCAGACTGTTGAGATATGGAATTTTGACTAGATCCACAACCCAAAGCTGTAGATCTGCTTATACCTGGCTAACAAAGGCAGCTATCTTTTTGTGGTCGGAAAATTGGTGCCAGAACTTCTCTGGGAGGTTTTCAACGATTCAAAAGGCTAACGAATGCTAATGGTGAAGACTTGGAAACGTCATAACATGACAATCCTTTAAATTCCAGAGAGAATCTACTCGACCAGCATTTAATGACATTTATGAAGAATATAAAATTTCCCAAGCAGTAGCCGAACTCACACGCTTATAATAGTTCCCAGGATCGACTTTCTCTTAACCTCGGCATTGAAATATGAATGTGTCGTTTTCTTGTTCAGCAATCGCGAGGTTTTTAAACAGCATACATTTACTTCCATAAAAACACAATACAATACAACGCTAGCTGAC